ATTCGATGAGCCTCAGCCGCAGATTTCTTCATATTGAAGCAGAAAATTAAAACCTTCCGCATATGACGAGAATTTAGCTCATAAATTGACATTTTCGAGAATAACTTTATGATGCAGACACAAATCGACTAATGTTTCTATGAGGTTATGTTGACAGATGCCCAAGTTTATGACGTCTATGATTTATTTATTTCGCCACCACTTACTATCTATAGGAAAACAGCGGAAGCAAAGTTGTACACCTATATATATGCTCCATGCAATTCCTGTAAATGAATAAAAATGCATTCAGGATTGAAAAGCATTCATTTTAACATTCGTGAATCAATATTTCTGAAAATCTGAATCCATTTCAATTCATTTCAATCCATTCTCGTTTGCTGGGATATATCCAGGGGAAAGTTACTTTTTACAAGTAACAAGTTACAGTTACTCGTTACCGATTTTTAAAAATAACTCGTTACAATTATCGTTGAAAAAATAACTTTTTGTTATTTTTCCGTTACTTTTTTAAAATACGATCACCAATCACAGAGGGACTTTCTAGAGTCTGGCCATCGGCCCATGTTTTCGATTGATTCATGTTAGCTTGCCGTCACTATGGTAGCACGAATTAATGTAAGGAAATGGCACGTTTATTAAAAAACTTGTAGACATGAAATAACGCAAAATATTCTTTATTGATGTATTTCACATTATAGGATGCTTTCTAGCAAGGACACAATCAGACACAGTGTGTAACACAGTGAATCCTTGTTTAACGTAGACAAACAACAAGGATGTAACGATTTGCTGTGTTACACTGTGTCCTTGCTGTGTCTGAAAAGCACTCATAATCATAAGGAAATGTTATAATTGTAAAGAAATAATATAGTTATGAAGAAATATACAATGTGTTTAATAAAAATATAAAAGGAAGGGCGCCGATAGAAGATCATGAATTATCGCAAATAATAACAAATAACACAATAATTAAATAATAATAATAAATAAAAATAATATTTTTATTAAGGGCGCCGATAGAAGATCATGAATTATCGCAAATAATAATAAATAACACAATAATTAAATAATAATAATAAATAAAAATAATATTTTAATAATATAATAATTAAATCGGTGTAATGTATTGAGTGATCATGAAGAAAAGTCGGAATAAATAAAATTGATATGGTAATAAAAATGAAATGTGAAATCAAAATAAAAAAGCCCGGCAGGCTTAACAAAAATTGGGAATGACACAACATCTAAGTCGAAACAAGACAAACATGTCTGTCCCGGTTTATTCTCGTCACAGAACTTAATTCTTAAGTACGAAAGTGTATAAAAGTGAAAGCACTAAGAACATATCCTAACCACTTTTATCTGACATTTTAAGGGTAGACTTTGTTTTTCTAGGGACTCTAGGACTTTCTAGTCTCAAACACTATGAGTGACTTGTATCATGTTCAATTGTGCAAAATAACAATAATTGTAAAATTCGTTACCGTTATAGTTCCCAGAAAAAAAAGTAACGCAGTTACCAATGAAGTTACCAAAAAAGTAACTTGTAACTGTAACTTCGTTACAAGTAACGAGTTATTTCTATTCCCTTATATATATATTAAAGACAAAAAGAGTATTACGAAATACCCTTTTACTGAAATTATGTAAAAATTTAAAGAATCAAATAGAGAAAAAGGCTAATTTAATTTAATAATTTTTTTTTTATTAAAAAATTGTAGTTTTCTTCCTATTATACATGTAGTTTCAAATAAAAGAAGTGTTATTCTCTAAATATTTATTCGTAATACATGTCTGCAAAATATTTTGCATTTTAAAAATTATTTCATAAGCTTACCAATCGAAAAATCTTCTGCCATGAAAAGTACCATCAGATGAACCATTGACATATGGCAGTTCCACTCCCACATGCGTTTCTTCTCGGCCAGGAACGGGACCTACATATCTCACGCGACCTTGGAGGACCCTACCTTCCGGTGATATAACCTTCACAAGATGATCCAGTTTGAGATCTCTTGGTATCTGAAAAGTGCACATAAAAATTCGAGCAATTATATATTTAAATAACAATTAAAATTGAATAAGGCTAAAAAGATTAAATCAATAAAGGATAAATAATGCCAATGAGAGCCGACACAGTTAAACGTGTAATCTAAATATAATATATATGTCAATCATCAATTACAGACTTTTTGATCATAAGATTAGATCATCCTCAGTGCATAAGTAACAAATATCGGAATCAAATTACGTTGTAAAATAATAGGCGAATAAAGTGTAAGTGTATTAAATCATCGTTAAGCTGTTGTTGAATTAAAAATATCTGTCGTATTTAGCTGGATATTCAAATCAAAATTCCGTAATTTAATTAAAATATTGAGTTAATATTTACAATTTTTGAAATGATTTCCATAGTCGAGTTGAAATTAATTAAATCAGTTAAACAACTTACATTGATCTCAACATAACGATGATCCATTATAACGCAATATGATTATATACTTATATCTTAAGAGCGTGTGAGACGTTTTGTATTCGCAGTGTTTATATGTACAAACATTAAACAGAATAAGAATAAGTATTAACAATAAAAATCAACAATACAAATTTTTAACTTATAAAACAAAGAGATATTACTCTTTCTTAACTAAATCATAATATAACAGATCCAACAATTTTGTATCATTGCAAATTAAATCCATTTTTTTGTTTATATATTTATATATTTAAAATAGAATTAAATGATTAAAACAAAAAAATTACAAATATAACAATACCTTTGGCAAATATGGTTTGGCATTCTGAGGAGGATGCCAATCGTGTATCAAGTTCGGCTCCGAATGCCTTCGCGTTCTTCTTCGTCTTGTTGTCTGTTTGTTCCAATAATCCGTGCTGATGCTTGATATTGTTAGCATAGAATCAATGCTTCGCCGCAGATAATCCTCGGCTTCATCGATTAACGATTCAGTAGAGTCTCCGCTATTTTCACCGCCAACTGAGTCTGAATGCAAGTTGGGTAAACTACCGCGCGTCAATGGACACTCTGAAAGTTTCATTTTGAACTCACTATATTAGAATCGATATAAATTTTCTTTCTCAAATACTTGCATCATTATGTCATTTCAAATAAGTAAGTAGTAAAGATCTTGTGTATACATATGTGTAGATTTATCTAATATTCAATCTAATAGAAATGTATCAAGCAAAAAATAGAACACTGCCTTATATAATATATTATTCCAATTTTAAATATACAAAATAATTATCACACACAAAAATGGTTACATACATATAAAGAATTTTAATTTCTACTCAAATATCTCAAAACGGTAAATATAGAAAAAGGAAATTTCCTGCAATAACCTTGATCTAAAAATAGAAGAATTTATGAGAGAGACATATCCTTAATTAATAAATTATATGTATATCTTTGAAATTAAGCTGTTTTGGACATATGGTCATGTGAAGTTTCGAATTTGTGTGAGGAATCACTCCTTAAAATCCTTTTATCATACTTAGGACACATCCCTATATATATTAGATACGCAACTAAGTTCTCGCTGTTATTTTGATGCATTTTCATCAAAATAACAGCGAGAACTTAGTAATAAATATCTTATTTCAAATAAATAAAAATGCATACACAACATTTACATTAATTTACTTGAAATAAATTATTAGGTGTTGGAATTAATTCGTAGCGTTTTACAAGTGATGGGAAGTACTTTCATTAATGTATTTTTTAATGCTCATGTGAAATAAATAACATTCTTTCATTAAAAAACACCTTCCAACACCTAATACTTATTTAATATTTTGATACTTCACGGTTAAATAAATTCTCCTATTTCTAATTTTCTATTTACTATTTCTTATTTCTTAACAGTACAAAATAAAAAATAGTAAAAGTAAAATACCACATGTTTGCTGTGTTCTATACAATGTATATACAGGGTGTATCCTAAGTATGATAAAAGATTTTAAGGGGTAATTCTTCATACAAATTTAAAATTTCATATAAAACATATGTTCGAAATGGCTTAGTTTCAGAGCTACGTGGGTAACATGTGTCTCTCTATAACATCGCATCGTTCTCAGCGAAAGCAGCCGGATGTTGCCTGTGCACGCACTCAGAGAAGGGTGCAGTGCGTCCAACGTTTTCTTAAAGACAAAGCAAAATTTCAGGCACCGCGATCACACAGTTCGAATATAATCGACTGCGACGAAGAAACCCGGAACCAACTGAGCGCAGCCGAAGCGCCGCGCCGTCGTGGTCTAGTGGAACGGGAAAAACCGGTCGGCGAAAAGTCACGAAGATGGTAAAATAGTGCGAGAAGATAGAGTAGAGCCTTCTAACTCAGGCACCGCATGTCCCAAATCCCCTTGCCCGCTCGTGCTTGTTCCCCACCATGGGTTTAACGCTTCTCCTCTATTCGTAGCTGTGCACTGGCGCAGTGACGCGATCATTTCGTATAGCAGTCAAGCGTGGTTTCATAGATATCGAGAAAGAACAAAAGCAAAAGAAGCAATATTTATGACTTATTTTATTTTCGTTTGCGATCTCTATTAATCTGAAGAGTTATATTTGCATACTTGCATACTTACTTGCGACGAATCTAAACGCATGTGGCGGAAAGATTGAAAGGCAGCGTTGGAGGGGATAAAATTGAGAGAAGCCAGCTTACCATTGAAATCTTAGTGGGAACACGATCATGTGACCATTTGGAAGGCTCTGAGATAGAAAGTACTCTACTTCCGTCGAGAGTTCTCCGCAGTCACCGTCCTTCGTCTAGTAGATAAGAAACGGAGGTAGAGGATTCTGCCTTCGCCAACCATTCTCGGCAGTCGGACGGCACATACATTTATTTACTTGCAAGTGAACAACGAACAAAGCAAGTTAACAAAGAACTTAAGGGGTAGAATGTTCTCCGCCTCTGCCGAATGTTTTCGGCAATCGTCACTAGGGTTAATTAAAACTCGAACAATCCGTATTTTTTCTCCTTTTTCTCGTGTTCATATACGAATATCGCCTATTGAAAACATCGCACCGCGGACGCGGAATTTTAAACCGTTTCGGACATTTAAATAATGTCCGTCTCCGCATCGCGTCCGGTCTCGTGCCACAACCCAAACAAGCCATACTTGCGCATTGAAGTCAGCCTACACCGAATCAAGCGCACGTACAATTCCGCAAATCAGTGCAACTTTTTGCAAATATCAATTGTTATATCTTGGATGCTAGCACAAATAAGTGATCTACAAAAACGATAAAAAGAAGAAAGTAAAACACTTCTTCACCGTCAAAACCTTTAATTATACTTTATAAGATATTGCAGATATTTAACGGGTGAACAGACTCATAATACCGAACTTGACGTGCATAATGCAGGTGGCATGAGATAAGATGATTCTGCTGTGAACCACGGCACTATATAATGCTCAATCTGCTGGATAACGATCGTGTAACTTTTTCTTTAGAGCGGAAACGTGAAAAGTAAAAATTTTTATGTACGTAGATTAAAACCCCCTATTATGAGATAGGCGACTAATATGAGATAACGACTTTTCTATTAAACTAAACGCTATCTGTTAGTTCCACCATGAATTTATTGCTCCTGGATTGAAAACTGTTTAGCAGAAAATTCATTATTAAATCATGCCTGTAGTCATCGTAAAAAAAGATTTTAGAATTTGAATGTTTTCAAATTTCATTGAAATGAGCCTTTAAATCTTGTTTATTATTTAATAAATAAAAATATTTGGCAATAAATTTTTCATGTAGTGATAGAGTAAGGTCGTACTAATAGAAAAATACGGGATATATTGAATTGTTTAATTACAGATGTTAGATTTGATCATAAAATCACAAGGCGTGGAAATCGTAATATGAGGTATCCAGGGTATTTCTAATATGAAATAACCCATGCTTCTATGTTATAGTGGAAATCGTTGCTAAAGAGTAAATGTTATCATACAATAATAAAAAGAACAATCGGAATGTATGTCGAGTGCCTATTTCTGCGATGCATGATTCCAACTACCTGAAGATGAGTTCTGGGTATAATCTATCGCATACTTATTTTTCATGTACGCTGACTGTGTTTGTTTGCATTTTAAAAACATGAAATAAAATTTTTTAATTGCAATACTGATATACTTTGCGTTTTATACTATCGATTTCTCGGGGCATCTCATATTAGGAGCACAATTTTTTTGCGATTTGCTCACTTTTTATATTTCTTTAATTTAAAAAAAAATCGAATTTGAGTTAAATTTTATATAACGTTACCTTAAAGCTTATTAAATTCCCTTCAAAATGACCTATTATTTTTTTAAATTCTGCCCATAGACTTCTAGCATTTATCCAAAATGAACTCGGTATCTTATAATAGAAACCTTTCCTCTATGTATGTACATACGTAGCACTATTCGGGAAGTGACGTACATCGAATGGCAGATCTCCTAGAAATAAAACCTCACACCTCTCCTTCCTGGTCTGCCTCGTCGTCCAGTGATGGTGCTGTTAACCTCTGTGGAAATCGAGTATCTAACCTCGGTGGAAGCATAGGGAACGAAAGAGAGCAAACAACTGATCCTCTAGATTAGGGGACGATAGGCTGATAACTTATCTTCGTCAAAAACTATTTATTGCAGACAGGAGAAGAGACCTCCGATTGAATAGAAAATTTGGAGATAAAACTGGCTACGACTAAGGAATAACGAGATGAACTTTGCAACCTGGAATGTCAGAAGTCTGTACAGCATACGAACAACTAATGGATGAGTTAATGAAATACAAAGTGGACTCATGTACAATACAAGAGATAAGATGGCTAAATAGCGTACTAACAAGGAAAGAGACCTAACTCCTTTCCGAACTTAATGAACTTTCAGTATGTTATTCTCCAGACAAAAATAAGCGACACGTATTTTCTTATACGTGCTTTTACGTATTTTTTTTACCACTTATTTTACGTACTTTTAAGAGATGAAACACCCTTAGGAGAAAAACGGTTTTTTCTTTCGAAGCGGATATCGTTGAAACTGTAAGAGGTAGATAAAAAGTTTGAAATAAAAGTTGCATGGTTTCAAAAGTACTTTATAATACAAAAGAAAAAAATTAAAAAAATTTTTTTTTATTTTTTTATCTCCACCATTTGACTTTTTTAATATATAAAATTTTGATTTTTTTTTTATAATAAAGAGAAAGATTATTTTAAGACGAATTTAATCATGTGTGATACAGTTATTTTCCAAAGTACCATTTTTGAGAAATAAAAACGCCTCTATACGTGCGCTATCCGTACTTCACGCAGCACATTCGTGATGTTGAAGCGTACTTTCGCTTAAACAGGAAGCAACGATGTAAACATATCTATTTTTAGAACTCTGCGGACGTCTAGTCATAGAAATTTTTATCACGCACGACTAGACAGCATTTACGTAACGTCTAGATAAAATATAGTGTCAAAATCGAAAGTCGTGTATTATGTAATTGTAAAACGAAAAGTGCAAAGTGTACGTTGCGCTTATATGAATTACATTTATTGTTTGACATACATATTGAATTAATATCTTGTAAAATCATATTTCTTTATTTAAAGTAAAGGAGGAGAATCGAAGAAAATTGGAATTAACGTAAATAAGTATGTAAATAATGAGATGTGAATGAGTGCCTTCCGTGCACGCATCATATGCATTATTTATCTCTTATCTGTTATATATGAAATGATAAATAAAGAAAAAAATAATGATACATTATGCACATAATAAATAATAAATATATCACATATTCATAAAGTTAGTACACACATATATATGTAGATATACAGTAAAAAGTATTAGTACAGTCGAGAAATTTAGCGTCTAAAATCTACAAAGTTTGTTTGTTTATATTAAAATAGAACATATTCATTGTATAATAAAATTGCTAATTAATGTTTATTTTCTACAAATAAGATTCATTTTATATAAAATGTCTTTGTCCTTGTACGAATACTTTTGCTCTCACAATGTACTTATTATATTACCTATAACAATATAGGTATCATTTGTCAAACAATGATATAAATGTTATCGCTTTGAGAACGTTGATATTTTATTGGCATAATGTTAGTGGACTACTGCATTTACAATATCTATAATATTAACAATAATTAGGCGACATGGACATTCCTTATACTGCTTTTGATAAGCCTCAGCTAAAAGCGTGTCATTATTTATTATTAATAATATTTATAATTGCATCAAATAACAAGAGATAAGATTTCACGAATTTTAAAACAAAATGTAAAAAATCATATTACGAGATAACACAATGTATTAGTTGTTGTGTAATTAAATAGTATATAAGTTAATACATATAAAAATTTTATCCTATACGTTTCGAACAACTCGATTTAAATACATGCGCATTATTGTTTATTATTTATTGTGCAATTTTAAAATAATTGAGACATTATTAATTACGTTGAGGCCTCGTATAGGCCTTCTTTTTATTTTTTTTTATTTATATCAGAATTTTTTATTACTTTATTTTATCTTTTGTGCGCATACTTTCCTCTTCTGTGTAAAGAATGTAAAAAGAAACGTCCTGTTGCTGTAGTGCGATCATACATGGGAGAAAATACCAATTTTTAAACAGTGGATAGAAATAGTAGCAGAGATGAACTACGAGAATTACTTGATCGGGTATTGTAAAGAAGGAGAGCACCTCAAGACAATGAACTTCGACGAATTATTGGGCAAGGACGTGGTTCATTTTTAGAAAGAAACAAATAGGACATAAAGATATAAAATTTTTATTGTTAAGATAATAGATAAAGAATGTAATAAAATAGCATATATAAAAATGTAATTTATTTATAATGCTACTTAGTAATATATAAGTATATATATATATATTTTTTTTTTATTTAATTATTTTTTTAAAGAAATTTGGAGACAGGGCAACAGGAGTCGGACGCAACGGTAGTCGTTATGTGTGTAAATAATATACAAATATAATACAAAATTCTTTAATACAATAACGCACATGTTCGGTTCGTTTTTGAATTCTCTTCAGAGACATAAATCACTTTTGTAGATACAATATAATTATTTTTTATGACATCAAAGCCTTCGTTATTATGATTTCCAAAAATCATGTTACGACATTGTATAATAATATAATTATATAATATATAATAAGGTAACATGAATAAAGTAAATTAGTAAGATTATAAAAAAATGTTGTATGCAAAGAGATTTCTTGCATCTTGCGTAAGTAATTATAGCAATACCACCGCAAACATCGCATGTTGCTTTAGCACGTTTTTTGAAACAAAAATCTACAGGAGTTTCTAATTCTTCTGGTTTAAAACAGCAAATAATACAAAGGCATATACCACAAGAATTTTGTATTTTAATAGATTAACAATAAACATCAAATTAGGTCATCAAATTAGGCCATCTTCAGTATTACAAAGTTTCTTCCTCTAATTTATGCATACATATTTGCGAAAACCCTATTAGAGTTATATGAATCACATTAAACGTTATATAACAAGAACGCTCGTTATACATAGATATATTTTTCTGGAGAATTATCATTAAAAGAAGTTAGCAGTTGTGTAATCATAT